AAATCCGAATAGAATAGAAAGGGTACAGGTTGTATTCGAGTACAACCTATACATTTTCTATTCGAGGAAACTGTGGTATTCGAGAAACCGTTTCAATTTCGAAAAAGGTTCCAAGACCGCAGCCTCCTCAGCCTCCTCCGTGCAACTACCGGTCCTACGCGGTCCTGGCCCTTGCAAGGCCCCAAAACCTCAAAATGTCCACCCTCCCGACGACCACAACGTTGAAATGTCTCAGGGGGGAAAACGCAACCCTGACGGGCTGCGAACGAGTGCTGTTGAGCTAGGTCGACGTTTAGTTCTCGATGCCGTGTGATTGTAGGCACGAAGATGCACGTCGTCCAAGTGATCTAGCGGTCTGTTTTTTCAGTTATTTCAATAGCGACTATCGGCGTTTTTTCTTGCAACAAAAAAGCAGAAGTAAATCCGTTTTCTTGAACGCTACGCCCCCTACACCCGCAACTTTCCCTTTAACTTTCCGTTGAGTTAGCTGTCTCCTATTTTTGAGACAGCCAGCTCAACGACCATCGGCCACCAAAAGCGTCCTTTTTCGGATAAATTGTGCAAGTCTCCTTCCGCTTGCCATTTCCGTATGACGTTTGACGGATCATATAGGCATTAAGTACGGGATTCTGGTAACTCTTTATTGCTATCCAGCAGCACGAAACCACAGTCATCACGGGTGATCGACACATGCTACAAGTCGGAGGGAACCACTTGGGATCGGATCTGACAGTGTTGAGTGGTCGAAGCGGATTAGGGGAGTCAGAGGGCAGTAACATTCCATTTTTGGTTGTGGACATGCCCGTATGCCACTCCAATTATGAAAAAAAAAAAAAGTATATATACTGCATTTCTCATTTTTTATCGAATTAAAATAACAGTTTTAGTTTTTACACCGTTAAGTTAACTCAACCAAATGGTGCAAGTCGGACATGGTCCCAAGTCCTCCTCCACTAGCCCAGCAAAGGAGTCATACGCCTGTCCAAAAACCAATCTTTGACTTTTTTTTTTTTTCATTATTTTTCTAGCGACGACTTTTTTTCCTCCCCCTTCAGTTTCACAAAAATTAGGCCAGAAACCGACAACTAGCGGAGATCAAGGGTTTGAAGGTTGTTTTGGCGAAGTGGTTGTTGAACTCTTAAAAAAAACATGGATGTTGAGTCTCGAGTTTCGCAGGTAGGCACAACAACAGTTAGTCACTATGTGTGGTTGGGAAGGAGCACGGTTACTGCATAAAAACCACCTTAGGTTCTACGGACCCGCAGATAGTGACCGCTTGGTTTTTGTAGCTCAAGGGTGTTAACCTCCTAGAACCCTGGTTCCGCAGGCACGTTTTTTGTTTTTTTGTATGGGTAAGTGGCAGTTGTACTATAGTGGGTGTACAAATGGGCTAATGGGTTAGTTAGGATAGACGACTATATGGTTAGGCTACCGTCTTCACCCGAAGAGAACGTCCGACCATTATGGTTGTATTTGGGGCAACTTTCCATCCAGAGACAACGGTATTTTACTAGCGTTGTATTCGGGTGAAGACGGTAGGGAGCAGTTGTAGAACCGCAAGGTCTGGTAGAGAAAGACTTGCAGACTTCAGCCTGTAAACCAAGTTGGATGATGATTTCATTAATTTTCGATCGGGTCAATTTTTTTTTTCTTACATAATTAAAAACTCTAATTTTAAACAGGTTGTGGCTAAAGCAAAACCCTACAGTTTTAGGTCAGTTTTTACTTTGTTAAAGCTCCACTCATAGGTCAGGAGCACCAACTATTACTTTTGACAATATTATCTCATTGAATATAAAACAATAATTATTATAATAAATCACATATCTTTTGTTGTATTATAAAGGTGACAACTCGCATCACACTCCTAAACCGACCCTATATAATTAAACTTAAAAACTACTTGCAAAATAAAAACTTTAATTTTAGACAACGACTCTATAGAAAAGTAGATTGTTTATTTCATCATGAAGTAACGTTTCTCTAATATCGACGGAAAAGGAAACGGTTAAGAACAAAAAAGTGGAGCTTATACATACAATTGTGATTTTCCTACTTTGTTTCCTCATCTTGTATCGCAACCATTAACTCCGCAGTGAAGCCCCGAACAATAGTTTCATAAAAAAATATGAGTTTTTTTTTTTTTTTTTCATTCGTTTCTTCTCAGTATTTCATTATTTTTTTTATATTATTTTTATTCAAACCTTGATCTTGTACATACATCTTGGTGTCCAAAACACCCATTTATTGTTTTTAAATGAAATGTTCATAAAGACTTCACTCCCGCAAGCCATTGATAAATCTTTATCCCCAACCCTCCAATATAACTCATTATTAATAATAAATTGCAGTCAACATACGACGGTAATAAAGTGAATACCTAATATGGTATTTCAAGTTCGTCATTTTGGTGTATTATTATATTTTTTTATCTTTAAATATTCTTTAATACTTTATATTATGTGAAAAAATACTCAATTGTGTTCTTAACTTATTGACTATGATTTATACCGATTTTTTATGCCACGTCACTACCTTGCCTTATTTCTCTGATAAAGTCATACTTATCATTTGAAACCTTAACAACCAACGAAGATGAATGTTTTTCGATCGGAGTGATCTACTTGGTTGGATTGAGTATGACATATATACGCCTATGCGCTTAAAAAAAAAATGATAAGGGAAGATTTACATACTTATATCACATGTCAACAATGTTAATTTTAAATACTCTCTCTTTAGATGTCTATAATCCAATTTGACAAAAATATGATATGTGGTATTTTCCCTTTCAAAGTTTTCTGCCACTGTAGCATGACGTCAGAAGTTTATAGTAGAAGGGATCTTGTAGTCAAATATAAACTTTTTATATTTTGAACTTATTACTTTCGTTTTGAACACCTTTTGTTCTTCAACTTTCTCATCTTATTGATAATTGTTATTTAGTAACGACCACCTAGATCCCCAACCTATGAACTTATATGCCTAATTAACCACTAACTTGAACAACCACAACATATTTACCACATCCATCCCCCTACTCAATCGTGTTATAAAAAAATTCTCAATCTCATTTTTCTTATGTTACCTTGATCCTAAACGATTCATAAGTAGGCTAAGAGGATAGTGGTTCTTTTATGCATAAGTGGTTTAAATCATCATTGTTGTTAACATGGTTTGTGAAACTTATATTGTAAAGGAGGGTGTCGCACGTGACCACCGTGGATCCACAAAGTTTTTCAGGATCTGACTATAACAGGACTACGACAAATAGAGACGTAAGTATCAGTTGAGAGAAACTGGACAACGTACAAAGCATAACATCACGTATGGAGGAGGAGTCTGAGGTCGAAAAGAACAAC